GTAAGGCAAAATTAAACAATTATACAACATAAACAATACTTTTTCAGGCAGAAATACACGTAATTTACAAAGAACACCAATGTTTTTAGATATTTTGTTAGTTATATACAATCGATGATCCTGAAAAGATAAAGTATCATCCAAAAGGATACCAAGAAATTTAACAGAAGAGGACACGTTTAAATTTATATTGTTTATAAATATTTGTACATCATTGATATTGCAAGGATTAGTTTTATTATGAAAATAAAGTACACTTGTTTTGTCATAATTTATAATCAATTCATTAGCATTAAACCATTCAACAACCTTTTCTAATTCTTTATTTACTTCTGACATTAATTTATCAAAATCATTATGAGATGCAATCAGGTTTGTGTCGTCAGCAAATAAGACAAAATGAAAAAAGATGAAGCAGAACTAAGGTCATTTATGTAAATTAAAAATAGGAGAGGACCCAGCATGGAGCCCTGTGGGACTCCATACTGGATCCTCTCTCTGTCAGAAATAAAGCTGTTGTATGATGTGAATTGAATACGATCACTTAAATAGTCCCTGAACCATTCCCAAGCAATACCGCGTATACCAAAATGTTTTAATTTAGTGAGGAGAATATCATGGTTAATAACATCGAAAGCTTTCGACAAATCAAGAAACAAGCCTAATGTATGCAATTTATTATCTAATTTATTGAGTATGTAATCATGAAGGTCAATTAGAGCATGTCCACATGATGAGTTTTTTCTAAAACCATATTGAGAAACAGTCAGAAGATTATTTTTATTAATATGATTAAAGAGCCTATTATAAATTAATTTCTCCAGTATCTTAGAAAAACAGGGGAGTAATGTTATTGGTCGATAGTTAGAGAATATGTGGGGATCACCTTTTTTAAATATGGGTATGATTTTTCCTACTTTAAAATTCTTGGGAACTTTTCCTGACAAGAAGGAAAGATTACATATAAAAACAATAGGTTTGACAATGAAATGTATAACATGTTTTATAATGAACTGACTTATTCCTTCAAAATCTGTGCTCTTGGTTGAATTGAGCAATTTGACAATATTCAAAACTTCTGTTACATTGGTAGGATGAAAAAATATTGATTTGCTACAAGGATCTCGTAAAAATGAACTAAAATTGCATTTCGGTTTCTGAATATGTTGAGATTTTAGTTTTGTAGCAATACTAGAAAAATAAGAATTAAATTCATTTACAATCAATTGACGATCAGTTAACTTGTCCTTATCTTTAAGAAAATAATTAGGAAATTGGCATTTTCTTCTCTTTCCTAATAAATCATTAATAACTTCCCAAGTTTTAGACATATTATTCCTATTCTTCTGTAATAAATCACAAAAATATTTTTTTCTTACAGACTGTAGGATTGAGTTTAATTTATTTCTAAATTTTTTATATTTACATTCATTGCTGTCGTTTCTTTTCTTACAAAATGTTTTATATAATCTATACTTTTTATTAATCTTTTTTAACAGTGAAGGGGTTATCCAAGGTTTTCGTGGCAGTTTTCTTTCCTTCACTTTACGAACAACAAAGTTATGATCATACACAGTTTTAAATATATTTAAAAATGAATTATAGGCCTCATCTACATCACAAGAAAAAAATACTTCATTCCATTCTAAAACAGATAAATCTCTCTGAAATGAACTTAAACTTAGAGGATCCGTTTTCCTTATGTGGAAAAATGACGATGGTCTATGACAAGGACTAATAGAGAGGTTGGTTATTTGGAAAATAGGTAGATGGTCCGTTATATCACTATAGAAAATACCAGAGTGAATGTCTTTAGTGACTACATTTGTCAAGATATTATCGATCAAAGTGACAGACTTCTTACAAATTCTTGTAGGTTTGTCAATTAATGGGCGAAATGAGTTGTTATACATAATATTTACAAAATCATCAATGCATTGAAGCGAATTATATTTAAGTAGATCAATGTTATAATCTCCCATTATATAAACTGATTTATTTTCTAAAGATATTTTTTCAAGACAAGCATTCATGTTCTCATTGAAATCACAAATGGGTTTATTAAGGTCTCTGTAAATTATACCAACAATTATGTTTTTACAATTATCCAATATGATTTCAATAAAAAGATATTCACAGAGAGTTTCAGGTAAATAAATATCATCTCGAACTTTAGCATCAAATAATTCATTAACCAGGAGTGCAACCCCTCCACCTCTCCTACCTCGTCTGTCATTATGATAAAATGTGTAACCATCCCTATTAAATAATAACATTGTGTTATCGTGAATCCAGGTTTCACTAAAACCATATATAGAAAATTTTAAGTTAAGTTGACTAATAAACTGATCAATAGCGTCAAAATTTTTATTCAAACTTCTAGAATTAAAGTGGAGAATGCTAAATTTTTGTTTATAGTTATTAATTAAATCTTGGTTCACATTAAAATCAACAGGTAGCCAGTACTTAATGGGATTATTAGATGTGAAAAAATTATCATCTGGATCAATATCATTAAGCGACCCATTTTCATCTGTATCAAGCCTTGTCGAAAACATATCAAAGTTCATATCATTATTAGTAATATCATATTGCACTTCAGAAAACATACATTTAAACTCTATATCATTTACTTGATTGAAAGGAAATACATGCTGAAATATATCCATACAGTTTCAATAACAATCACACTTCATGCACACATTCACGCACACCAAAATAAGAAATACAAATTACAAAATAGCAGATATAGCAAGTTAACACAAAAATATAATGAAAAAAGAAATACAATTAACTCAAAGTGAGAGGAGTAGGTCATTAACCTAGGATGTAATTCAAAATAGAAAAAAATTAGACTTACATAAAATTTTGGAAAATATTGATGACATGTCTTTTTTTCAAGATATCAAATAGGCAACTTCAAGAAAGACTTGTAATTTAACTTCATGAAGGTAGAATAAAATGTTCTTCATCATTTCATCAGTTTTCATATGTTTTCAATGTCTTTCACGGAAAAAATCCGCTTCTTCATTGTTTTATTGTCCCCAGTTTTGATGGATACAAGTATGCGTCCATCCATTGACCATGCCGACTCTATCTTGCTTTCAGGTTTCCAGCTAGCTTTTTGGGCCTCCCACAGAATAGATCCCGATTTATGTTTCTTAAGAATGCGACATCATTAAAGATTATATCTAGAAGTATTCAAAAAAGCCCCAATTCAACCAGTCCACCTTTCATTCTTGAATTGTAAATGCAAAAACACAAAAACATCACATTTACAAGGGGTATGAATAATTTAATTGGTAACAGTATGTTGAAGAGAAACATTTTTTTCTTCTCGATTCCATAAAAAAATCCTGGTTTCTTGTCCTCTCTCACTTCCTTGTTTCTCTTTGTTAAAGTCCATGCTTCTGTTTGGTTATAAGATAACTCAGTTCTGACTTCTGAATGCAGTATATAGAAACTTGGTTAAAGATAAAGTCATGTGATTGCATGCATTGTGGAAGAAACGTTCTGGAATCGATCAGAAAAGGTTGATCATCTAGCATTATTGGTGTGTACTGCAAGGTTCTGGAATCACAAAATGATAACAAATTTGGCCCAGTCTTGGTAAAGTTACAAGCACTGTACACAGAAAGATGTATATGGGACTACACGACACGTGCGTTACATGTATATCTATCAGGTCCAAATAGATGTAATAATGTTATGTACCAAATACATGTATATCAATTAGTAGGCGGTTTCTCAGCAAAATTTGTATGATCACGTATTAGTAAAAACATTTCATTTTTTGAGAAGGTGGCATTTTCAAAACTGGTCTATACCTTTAAGCAAATGATAATGAATGAGAAGGAGATGATGATCTGTCAATATCAGCATGCGTGCATGTTTATCTACTTGCTAGTAGGCCTACTGTCATTCTTACTTCCTAATAGTTAAATAAAAACAATATGACATCCTTTCAGGATGTATGCTGGTGTTCAGTTACAGTACACCAGGGTCACATTATCCTTCAACAACAGAGTAGGACATATAAGTGGCAGATCCAGGATTTTTTCAATCAAGGGGACGCCAAGTTGTTTTGGTGTGTGTGCAAGCTTCTTTAAATCGCCTGAAAATATAGGGGCACCACAAAAACTTGCATGGTACGCAGCCAAATTTTGATTGCAAAAGGCAGGAGCTCATGTACGGGCCGGGGTAACCTCACCAGTCGTAAGGACCGCTATTCATTAAGTGTAACTTCCTATACGTGAAGGACCGCTATTCATAAAATGCAAAGGGGGTCACTACTCATAAGGGCATAAGGACTGTTTTTCTTAAGGACCGCTATTCATAATATGAGATGAGGGTTGCTATTCATAGTTCACATCGAGGGTCAATACTCTATAAGGACCGCTATTCATAATGAGGGTCGCTATTCATTTTCTATTTGCTATTCATCTTCTGGTATTATGAATAGCGACCCCCTTCTCATATGATGAATAAGGTAGCGACCCTCTTCTTCGATTGTGAATAATGACCCTTTTCTCAAATTATGAATAGTGGTCCTTATGAATAGCGAGCAGACCCGCTCATACCGCCTGGAAATACAGGTTAAAACAAGTTAACAAAATTGTGAACGGATTTTGGATGTATTATGAACCATGTTATTCAACAGTTATCACCCTTTATTTTGTTGGTGCTTGCATGTACTACTCCTGAAGAAAAAAAAAAAAAATTAAATTTTTTAAATCAAAGTTATTTGATATTGATGGAGACGACTGCTGCCACAACGAAAAAAAATGTACATACTTATAAGTGGAAGATTGATGCAATGTGAGAGAGATCAGTTTAATTTGAAACAAGATTTGGTATGAATTGAAATTAAAGTCATAAATTTCATAAATAAACAATGTTATACTGTACAGATTGTTAATTTTGTTCTTCTTTTCATGATGTATTTTCAAAATGATTTTCTGATGATTTGTTTTATTTTATTTATTTTTTGTTTCATATAGATATCAGTGTTGTTAAGAGTATCCTGCTTCTGGTCTTAAGATGTCTAGAGCCTGATCGTAAAAGTTCAACTACTCAAAACAAGAGAAGTCATATACTTTGGTTTCTACAGTGTCGTTAGAGGTAATTAAATATAAATTTAGCTTGTGGTTTTAATTTTACATTGAGATTATCTTGTAATTAAGGACCATGCAAATGCACTAGTGGTTTCAGAAACCTCAAGTTTACTCAAAGTTTTAAACCGCAAGTGATCTTTATACTTTATGGTTAAAGGTAATACAAAGTTTTGGTATGGGATTATGAATTTGATTCAAATAAACATATTGGAAGAATATGCAATCCTACAATATATAGTTTATGTTGTATAGCTCCCTCTCAAGCTCAAGATATTAAATAAGCTATAAAACTATATTTTTTGACTAAAATTGACCGATTAGCTATTCCTGTTTGGAAATTATATATCACAACTACATATTCTGAGATTTTCCTGGCCGCAGCTACCATTGTAGGGCCGTAGGCGCTATTTGAAATTACCAAAATTTACCGGGAGCACCGGTAAATTTTTATATTCATTTTTTCTCAAAAGCTTAACAGTGCATAAATCAATTATGAAATGTGGGAGGAAAATGTCAACACATACATTATCAACCTGACACGTGGAGGATTTCTGTTATACAAAGAAATGGGCAATCCATTAGATTGGGGAAATCCCACTTCGTATTGTGAATAGTTGTTGTAATAAAAGTATCCATGAGCGATTTAAGTTTCCTTAGAGACCCAGCGTAGCACAGGAAGCCATATGTGTTGTTTTAGGGCTGTTGATATGCCTGTTCATTCATTTTCGATGATCATGTGATATCAAGCTGTGTTTGGTTCAGGTCATGAACTCCAGAGGTGCTTTGGATCATTATTGCCTGATATTGATACTGAAATTAAATGTAATGCTTTCAGTCTTTTTCCAAATCACGTTCTCTTGGTCCATAGAATATTCTTGATTATATCCAACTTGTGGGCGGGGGGAGGGGGGGGGTGTGTTTTGACACTTGTCAACATTTGAGGTGTTGAGTTAGAAAATATGCTTTGATCAAATAGCTTTAAATACTATATATAGTATGGATATTTGCTGTTTCACTAGCATCTCAGATTTGTAAAAATGGAAACATTGTTAAACAATGCCTTTAAAGGCATAATTTAACAATGTTAAATCTGAGATGCATGGCCCTACGTGTTATCAGTGTCTGTGATATGGTGTAATATTGAAGCCCTAAAAAAATATTGCGCTTCAAAATGATCATAAAGTGTCTCAAAAAGTAAAAAGTCTTTGAGTCACGGGTTTTACTCATTTTCCCCAATAGACTGCAGTGTTATAAAAACCGTTAAGTAAACAAAATGTAATTTCGATTTCTAATCATAATCTTGATAGTCAGACAGGCGATCAGCTTTTAAAAGTCATGGGATTCCTGACTGACCTAAAGGTCTATAATTATGATTGCAGCATGAGCTAAATCCAGGATTTTGTTTCAGAATCTGAGTCAATGTTACCGAGTCACTTTAAGAAAAGATTCATCTTTTGAATCTATAGTTTGTCAATCAAGTGTGTTTTAAAACAAAATTAACGTCTGACCCCCATCAATATGTGTTGTTTTTTGTCTCTCTTTTTGCAGATATTGGCAAATGAGACTTGGAGGAATTACCTGACGAAACATCATTCATCATCCTCTGGCAGGTTCTAGCAGGAAAATACTGTCCTTCTGTGGACACCCGGACACCACAACCATCTAAGGGAAATGGTGCAGAGAGACGATCACCGGATGATTCATCCGGATGATCACATCCGCCACAACGATGAAACCTTCCAATACCAAGGAACACTGCCTATGGAACTGGTCACAAAGTTTGTTGATGAGAACCAACCCCGAATTGCATTCTTGAAGGGTTTTATTGCCGTGGGGAAAACTAGAACAAGCAAGGAGTTTGCACGTCTACTGGCCGAACGATTTCGAGGACAGAGGAACAGAGCAAAGGTGCACACATTTCTGTTTGATTTAAGGCATAAATCTGTAGAGACCTTGCTTAGTGATATCCTTAGAGTCTTTAAAGACAAAGTACAAGGATGGAATTATGGTAACATAGAAAATGTAGATCAGCTCAGTAGTGCCTTTGAAAAGGAAACGGACCGGGTATTCATACTTGTGCTAGACAATGTTGATAGAGTACATGACAAAGAACGGCCTAACATTCTAGAGTTCGTTCAAGAATTGGTGTCCGGAACGGGCAATGTGCACCTGGTCGTAACTGGCAGAACTGATGTGAGTCTAGTCAGAAATCCTACCCAGGTCATGAAGCATCACATGAAGCCGTTGGAGCAGAAGTACGCCAAGGAGTTGCTGAAGGAGACATCGGGTAATCCAGAGGGCTTTGACAAGTATGCAGACAACATTGTCGACCTGGTGGGCGGGTTACCATTAGCTCTGATGATTGCAGGAAATGAGATGAATAAAAAGTCCACCCAACTGCCATACACACCAGAGGAGTTTGTAGCCCTCATGACAGACTCTTTATCTCTATCCCTTGATCTTGAGAATGTCCCTACGGAAGATAGAATAATCAGCAGGGTAACTGACATTGTCAAGGAAAATTGGACTGTGTTGAAGAAGTTGGTCATTGCTTTGGACTACCCACAGATGTTTGATACGGAGGACTTAAAAGAAGCTATGGTTGCTACAAGCGGCTCTTCTGTGTGTGATTGGCAAATCAAACGGACCTTGATACTTGTGCTGAGAAGATCGGTATACGGGTTAAACGGAGAGAGCGGCAGTGCGGACAGTCTTGAATCTGCACCTCTCCTGATTGAAGTCTTGAAGGAAACGTTCTGCCAGATGACCTGCAAGGATGGCTTTCTCAAGGACTTCAACAAGTGTCTTAAGAACATGCTCGATGACACAAGCGATCTGATGCGGTCGGGAGCAAAAGAGCTTCGTCAAGCTGAACTTCACTTACTGAGGAATCAGAAAGGTCCTAAGGTCACACCTCAGGAGGTACAAGAGCTGCGGACCAATGTCATCACGAAAGCTTATGAGTTCCTAGGCACAGTGGAAGTCGATGCTAAGATGTGTACAAACTTTCAGACTCAATGTATTCAAATTCAAAATAAATGGGAAAGGGAAGAAGCACACAAGGTCCCACCACGAGTCGGAATTCAGGAGACTAGCCCTGATCAGAAAGAACGGCCTGTAATATGTTGCAGAAGCCCTCTAAAAATACCATCTGAGGGCTTGAAGAAAGATTTAGAAGCCTATGTCTCCCCAACGACTCCACAGAACATTGTACTACCCAGTATGAAAGACATAAACCAGGCAAATGATTCTTCAAAGACTACCATGATAGAAGCAGAGAATGACAGTAGTTCAGAGGTTACCAAAACGGCTGATGTAACAAATCCACAGAAGGAAGAAAATGGAGACATAGAACATGGAGACATAGAACATAGTGCGAGAGAATCAAAAGGGTTAGATGAAATTACATCAAACAGTACTGGTAACAAAACCCTCTACGGACAAGCTGTCAGTCAAGATTCATCATGCGATTGCAAAACGGTAGTCAAAGAAGAAAGCTCTACGTCAGATGTCAAGGTGACTCAAGACAACAACATGTCTACAGCCTTCAAGTCTCAACGTAATGATCACACAAAGAGCATCCCTTCCAATGTGTCTACAGATGATAGTAGCCTTTCAATTGATCTTTGCAAAACCTGTGACAAGTCCATGTCTCTTGATGCGCTAAGTCTACCTGGTTCCCTTCATTCTCCTGACTGCCGGGAACCAACCCAGGAGAGTGTTTCTTCGCAGGTTACCTACTCTGCCTTGCCGACACTTCCTGACCACCATGTCCTTACCAGTTCTCCAAATCTAGAAAGGAAAGAAGGGGATGATCGACAACATATCGACAACAGCATTTCTCCAACTGGGATGTCAACAAAAGAAGCTGTGGAATCAGAATTTGATTGGGAGCATGGAGACAATGAAGAAGTAGGAGAGTCAACAGAAGAAGCGATTGCGGACAAGAAACCTTGCAATGCAGTGACTCAGGCTGACAGAAAGAAAGATCATCCTAGAGGTGAGACAAAGCGTGAAGTTAGGAAGCCTCCGCAGCTGCCTGGAGTTCAGACAACCATCGTGACCACCAGTACCACAGCCACAGAGACGACTACCACCAAAGGAACACCAGCTGATGGTCCTCGGCAGTCTCATCCCAAGATTAGGAGAAACGAGACCAGGGGTCAAGGTATCCTTGGGTCTACTCCATCATCATCATCATCATCATCCTCATCGTCGTCATTGCATTCTCCTGCTTACCCCCAAGATCCCAGGTTCCCAGCTCATTACAATCCAGTACTAGACCAGAACACCTCCTTTCCACCACCGATGGACAGAAGATGTGTTTATGGCAACCAAGGAGTACGAGAACAATGCCAGATGCTACCAGGTCCTATTCTGCCACCAAATGTCCAAGGGGGAAGCTACCATGGTCCACCTTACAAGGGAGGTTCAGTCCCCTACAATCAGTTTGGAAGAGAGTACAATGATCTCCATTATCAAGAATCATACTACAATGGCTCGGACAATACCCCTACATCCCAATTCACAAAGAACTCTGGAAAGTTCTCTCAGGCTCATGATCATGAGCCAGCTTTCTTGAGTGATGGATCATATCCATCTTCAGACTTTCAGCCACAAGGACCCATGTACGGATACCCTCAGACCAATGGACCTCCTTTCCAAAGCCATGTCTCTACTCCACCTCCGAGACTTCAGACACAGTCATCTTCCAACAGTTTTTCTCAAGCATGTGGGCCACCTCATCATAGCAATGTTTCATCTCCAACTTCAAGCTTTCTGCCCCAAGGACCCTCATGCAAGTTCCCACAGGCTTATGTGCCCCCTTTCCCCGACCATGGCTCTACTATACCTCCAAGCTTCCAGACACAGTCATTCTCTGACGGATTTTCTCAAGCTCGAGGACCACCCCTCATGAGCAATGTATCGTCTCCTTCATCAAGCTTTCGACCTCGGGGACCACCGTCATTGAATGCCCCAAGTCTCCCAGGCTCCTTGAGAACTAATGGGTTTTATACACCTCCAAGGCACATGAATGGCCCACCAAATCGACCTTACCAAAGAGACTATGGTCATGATCAACATGGACAACATCAACAGGGACAACATCAACAGGGACAACATCAACAGGGACAACATCAACAGGGACAACATCAACAGGGACAACATCAACAGAGACAACATCAACAGGGACAACATCAACAGGGACAGTATCAACAGGGACAACACCAACAGAGACAACATCAGCAGGGACAACATCAACAGAGACAACATCAACAGGGACAACATCAACAGGGACACCATCAACAGGGACACCATCAACAGGGACAACATCAACAGGGACAGTATCAACAACAACCTAGATATGGCTATCAAAGAAATTGTCATTACTATTAAAACAAAGACACATTCAGAGCTGCCAACCATTCCGTTTTTGCCGGAATTCATGTACTCCGTTTTTTCCTCCGAATTACGGTATTACGTTTTTTCTTCATAAAATACTCTTTTTTTTTTTTTTTTTTTTTTTTTTTTTACATTCCACACGTCAAACAACTGCCCTAAAAATGGTGATTTGATCACAAATTCAATAGAAAACTAATTTTAAAACATACTTGAAATTATACTTGAACAGAAAAATATTCTCATAAAGAATGAAATGCCGATAATACCAAAATTACCACACAAAAAATACCTGCTTGTATGGAAAAAGCAGCATTAGAAATGAACATTTCTGCATTGGAAGTGTGTCGCGCGTGCGTGGTTGTAAGTTTTTTTTGCTTGAAATTCCTTTTTTTGCAATCATGATTCCTTTTTTTAGGTCGCACAAGGTTGGCAGCTCTGCACATTTGCAAGGTTCGAGTAATAGTAATCTAATCACATTCACTGACACATACATGTTGCAGAGGTGAGGATTCTCAGATACTGATTACCCACGCTTAATATACACTTAAAATGGGGGATTTTGTTTTGACAATTTAAAAGAATCATAGAGATTGAAAGATAAATCTTGGTTGGATAGTGTTTAGAGATTTGGATGGCACATTTTGATATGTATAGATTATTTTTGCTTCTCCTCAATTAGTTGATAATTGATACAATACCCTCAGGATCCATACTTGTCTATGCCTATCATGCAGTGAACAGAACTTAGCTATGGAGAGATCAAAACAAGATCTGGGTCCTGTTTCATAAAACTTCTTATCAATAACCAGTTACAATGACTGTTATAAGCTACTGAAATCGTGGGATTTGATTGGCTGAGAGCAAATTTGTCATAGAAATTCAGCATTTGTTATTGATAATGAGTTTTATGAAACAGGGCCTTGATGATCGAAGAAGTTGGAGGCACTTGGCTGCCAACCCCGGCCTTGAGAAGACAACCGATGATTGATTGATTGATTGATTAATTTATTGATTGATCTATGCTTTTGATACGGATGATGAGTTGTATATTGAGTATTGCATTGTCATCATTCATTGGCAGACCATTTTAACGATAATACATGATAAAACCTTTCAATGATTTTTTGCTTGGCTTCATTTTTCAATTTTCTAGAAGCCCTAATTTTCAGGAAGCCCCAGACATTGAATTGAATTTTATTGAATTGAAATTAATTGAAATGAAATCTAGAGACAATATATCTGTCATTAAGCTGTGGTTTTTTGCAGATAGATCAAGTGTTCAAAACTATAATCGGAGTAAACTTCAAATGTTGATAATATGATGAACTCCCTTAACATATCTTTATATCTTGTTTTACTGCTTGACGTGACATGTACTGTTAAATATGTCTGGGCAACTATTGGAAGCGGAACTTATCTCCATAGAATATATATGTGGTAAAAAAAGAAGAATGGATCCTACACACAGGTCCTTCTGTGGAGAATATGACCATGCTGTGTAGAATATGACCGTGCAGTTTATTTTCTTCTCCTTACTAATATTTACTTCTTCTTTTTCATTTTTCCTACAGTGCGTATAGAGACTTTGACGAATGTATTATGCGCTTTATAAGAACTGGGGGGGCGTTTCTTAAAGCTGTTCGTAAAGTTATGCATGACTTTACGTAAGACTTGTATATGAAAAGCCAAATGGGGTGCTCAATCATTATTGATTATTATTTATTAAATTGAACTGTGCAGATGTAGATTAACATTCTTATTATAACAAACATTTTTAATGCAAAGTGTATTTTTTGCCATAATTTAATTGAGGTTATTGGAAATATCAGAAAAACTTTTGGCATCCTATATGGCACTTCATATACAAGCTGTTCGTAAAGTCATGCGTAACTTTACGAATAGCTTTATGAAACACTCCCCAGTATTATTATTATTATTCAGAGATGCCAGTCTTCAGGCTTTTGCCTGATTTCAGGCCCGGACAACTTCCCATTTCAGGTTTTTTCAGGCATTATATTGTACAACACATATGGGGCTTTAACGTGTTCTGGCTTCTTTTCAGGCCCAGTGAGTAAAACTGACTGGCATCCCTGATTATTATTACCGGTATGTGTTAAGATAAATTATGTCTGATAATTTGTGAGGTTAATGTAGGAGAAATACAGGTACTGAATCATTGAGGATCTTCTGAATGGATCTATGTTAGAATTGAAATAATTGCATACCGGTATATTGTTTTCTCTTACTTCTTACTGCCATCTTGTTGGAGGCTATGACAAGAAGAACATTTCAAATGATTATAGGAGGTATATACGTATCTCACAAAGAATATATGGAATAACTATTGTGCCATTTATGTACTGTAGTACATTGACCTCCATTCCGTCTTTGCTGTTGACCTCTTTTCGCTGAATTTTAGAATGCTTTCAGAAGAACTCTTTTCTGTAATCTTATTTAATCTGACTATGCATCACTGCTTCCGATGTACCCATGTACGTGTAGGCATTTAATCGGGCATATGTATATATAGAAACATAATAGACCTTAGGTCAATTTAGGTACATATATACGGTATGTATGTATGTATAATTCCAAGCAGAATCTAGACTTTCTTCTATGTGTACTGTATGTGTGTGGGTGTGTACATATGTACATGTATATAGGCCTGTATACCACTACTACTACTACTACTAATAATAATGATATCAATAGTATTATGGTGTAGTGGTATAGTCAATGAATGCTAACTGGCACTGCCTGTATGAAAATAATTTTTGTTATTGTACTTAATCTTTGTCATTATGATCTCATTATTACATGTTATTACCTATTTTGTTTCCTGTCATTTTGATGTTTGCTTTTACTATTGTACAGAACCTGTAATTCGGCTTTCGAGCCGCAATTGATTTTTATTTCAATAAACCATTACTACTACTACTACTACTTTTCTTTGTATAAATCAGTAGCAGATGAGTTTATAAGATACATGTAGGCCTACATGTAGTCATTAGATGTTAAAGTTAACTATGAATACTGGGTTAATGATATTTTGCATTCAGTAATCAGTGATTAATGACAGCTACAAAAGTTTGCCACTCTACAAGTTTTATTTGTGACGTTGCTGATCATTTGTTTTCTACCATTTTAATGTTTAATGTTCAATGTTTAAGAATGCCGTCTCTGAAGAATTATGTTGTCTTGTGTGGAAACTGCTTTTATAGTTTTATTGATGTACTTTTTTAAATGTAAATTGGGTTACCGTTTTACCAGTGCACATTGATGTAAATACATGTGTTTGTATACATGTAGTTTTTTTAATAGACAAGGTTTGTTTACACTATACTATTTGTTAAATATTTGTATCAATACTATTTAATGTATTGATATGATGATAAGAGACTGATATATTTTCAAGTCCATTGTGGACATGTGACTTTGTAGCTTTAAACTACATTTCAATACACTTGAACTTTATTTTAGGGACAGAAGGTCTCATGTTCATTTTCTCAATTTTCTATTTTTCTATCTGAATACATGTAACATTTAATATTGCAAAAGCCCTTTTAATGGATTTTTTCGTGGAAAATTCATAATTAATGTCTTTACATTGATGCTTTCCTGTCGAGCATTGTATGATAAATTATTCCTGTAAAAGTGCTTAGAGGCATCGTAGATGTATAAGTATTGTTATTGGTTTGCTCGAATTGTATATTCAAATTTAATAGCTTTTTGTAAAAGAGCAATACATGTTATGATGGTATTTAACATGCAGGGGTATTCCGGGGAGGGGGGGGGGGGGGGGGTGGCACCCCTTTTCTCATTCAAGATTTGTGTCAGCAAATTTAATGTGGTTAATAAATTTATAAGGACACAGGCTTTTGTTGTGATTTTTTTTCTTGATACAAGGCTGAATGTATAGAATTAAGTTGAGTATTAACAAAGTGACAATTGAGACCTTGGCCTCTACTTATCTCTCTCTCTCTCTCTCTCTCTTTCCCTCTCTCTCTCTCTCTCACACCCTCCCCCCCTTCTCTCTCTCTCTCTCTTTCCCCCTCTCTCTCCCCCTCTCTCTCCCCCTCTATCTCTCTCTCTCCTGATCTAAGGACACAGGCTTTTGTTGTGATTTTTTTTCTTGATACAAGGCTGAATGTATAGAATTAAGTTGAGTATTAACAAAGTGACAATTGAGACCTTGGCCTCTACTTATCTCTCTCTCTCTCTCTCTCTCTTTCCCTCTCTCTCTCTCTCTCACACCCTCCCCCCCCCCCCTTCTCTCTCTCTCTCTCTTTCCCCCTCTCTCTCCCCCTCTCTCTCCCCCTCTATCTCTCTCTCTCCTGATCTATGTAAGTCAATTCTATCAAGTACTTAGCAATATATGTTGTGATATTGATCAATGACGGGTGCCTTCTTTATGAAATACATCACTATGGCGAAGATCATGTCTTCAGTCACCATATGTAAGATGTTGTTGTTCGCGTTGAGATGGCGCACTTCAACCTTAACAGATTATATGTAAATAAAATGTACAGAAAAGTATACTCTATATATACTTGTTTGAATGACCTTGTTTATGAAATACATCACTTTGGCGAAGATCATGTCTTTAGTCGTCTTGTAAGATGATGTTGTTGTTGTTCGCGTTGAGATGGCGCACTTCAACCTTAACAGATTATATGTAAAATAAAATGTATACCCGGTACAGAAAAGTATACTCTATATATACTTGTTTGAATGACCTTGTTTATGAAATACATCACTTTGGTGAAGATCATGTCTTCAGTCGCCATATGTAAGATGTTGTTGTTCGCGTTGAGATGACGCACTTCAACCTTAACAGATTATATGTAAAATAAAATGTATACCTGGTACAGAAAACTATACTCTATATATACTTGTTTGAATGACCTTGTTTATGAAATACATCACTATGGCGAAGATCATGTCTTCAGTCATCTTGTAAGATGTTGTTGTTGTTGTTCGCGTTGAGATGAGATGACGCACTTCAACCTTAACAGATTATATGTAAAATAAAATGTACCTGGTACAGAAAAGTACACCTGTTTGAA